GAACCAAATAAGTCAGGAGTTTACGGCTCGACATTAACGACGACCAGTAAGTAGAATACAGCCTGCATGGAAATTTTCAGAATAAACACTCGTACAGGTACAGCAAGTGACTTGAATCCTTCATTAATTTCCTGAACTGCTCTGCTTAGTGTTTTCTGAATTTACAGTTAACCTAGTACTCTACTATATGATCATCTCACGAAAATCAAGGTCAAAACTACACATGAGCATTCAGACATCCAAGCTTCCTTTCCCTCCTCCCAATGACATATATAGCCACCGTGATTAAACATTATTCCCAACTTAATTAATTCATCCATTGATTAATCAAGCTATTGGAATTCTAAAGCACTACTGGATCGATCCAAAACATCCGCGATTTTTCCCTCATCCCAATGGTCCAAGCATCGATGCTCTGAAGTCTGAACTTGGCCCAAAAAACCCCCACATTTTCAGATCCCTACGCAGCATCAATCACAAGATCCAAGAAAGAGAAACAAGAGAAATAGTGATACAACTCCACTACTCCAGAAACAATGAAACATGCAGTGTTCAGATGCTCGAGCTCAGATCACTATGCTTCGAGCTTGCAGCTTCCATGCAAACCAAGAGCAAGCTCTGCTCAGCTGGCAAGACTGAACTTTCTGAAACTTCACCACTCATTCTGAAGCTCTAGTTAATCCTACACACTATAATTTATTTGGCAGCAAGGATCATGCTCGGATTTTGTATATTAGAGAACTATATCAATCATCCCAAATGGTCTCTGTGGGGGCCAACCAGCCACTGTGCTGCACACATGGTGGCGTGATGCTCTCCTTGACCATGCCAATGGGAGCTGCACATTGGGTACCATTTAATTAGGGTGGTCTGGCTAATTAAGGGAGTGTGCTGACATGATTGCAATGGCTTCTCTTTACGATTATTCATCTCCCCAACTTGGAGCTTGCGGCTCCACTCAACCAATATGCTGCTGATACTAGTAGATGTCTAGAAGAAAGCAGCAGCATCCTGTATGCAAAAGCTTTGCATCTGCTTGCCTTCTCTGGTTTTTCATTTGAGGCAAGTTGATAGCCCCCTCGTGCACTCACATTATTAACCCCAGTTTGCACCAAAGGAGAAACATGGCTGATTAGATTAGTTTTGTAGGGTTCTCTAAAGATGTACTGATAGGTTGCTACCTGCTAGTAACTTTTTATGAGATAGGAGATATTGGTGTCCCCAGCCAAGTATAAAAATAATCCTCCTACTATCAGATGTAAGACATTTTAGAGATGAGCATATGAGTCAAGAAGAAAATTGAATCCATTTTACTCCCTCAAACTTATACTATCGGAGCACTTAACATTCTAAACAATTTTTCGGCTCAGTTTTATACCTTAAACTATTCACCTCACTCCTGGTATTTCTCTCTTTCGCTATAAGTCGTATTTTACACTAAAATTATGATAATGCATTATAACACTAAGACCAATTTAAACATCGAGGTTTTACCAAGCATATAATCATAAAAAAAATACTCACTCTATCCTAAATTGTAGGGCGTATATCATCAACGACTACAAAGTTAGCATCACATGAAAGTCAGTAGATAAACAAAACTTGCGCAAATCAATTAAGTCACTTCTTCGGCTTCTTGAAAACTCCTATCAATGAAATTGATACGTTCCAAACAGAAGTATACATAACATGCACTATTGTCTAAGCTCAACTATACGAAGAACTTTTGCTCATGGTGACTTTGTTAATCTTACGATATACCGGTCCGGTCTCTGGGGGTGCACGTATAAACGTGTGTTCATAGAAACGAGTGTGTACACGAAAAAGAAAATCCAAAATATGTAAGTATTTTTTAATTAGAAGTAGATGAGAATGATTGTAGAATTGATTGATAAGAGAAAGTAGATAAAAGAGAATAGTTGTGATTGATTGAGACGAGAAGATAGGTGAAGAAATAATTTTATTTGAAATAAGGTAGTACTAAAAATAGCTATAATTAAGAACAGTGGTAGTACGTGATTTTCAATACATATTTTTCCGGGAAATTATAGGTGGACAGTGGGCTGGCTCCACCGGGAGACCGGCGGCATAGTGATAACTGATAAGGCACACGCACAAGCAGCCAAGCACGGCATCGGGCATCCCCAACCCCAACCCCCACCCCACACCACGGCGCAACGCAAGCAATTCGTCCGCCCGCCCCCGCCCCCGCCCCCGCCCCGCGGAACCGGACGCCGCGGCGCCATGTTCCCCGCCCTGTGCGCGTGGCCCCGCCGCCCGCACGCCGCGTTGCGCCTTCGACTCGGCGTCGTCTTCACCCTCCTCCCACCAAGGGGTAGAATCGAGCCACGATTTTGGTCGGTCTTTTGGACCAGTGGCGTACGAGCTACCACCACGATGCACGCGTCGGCATTTATGCAGAGGCGCTTAGCCAGCCTACCACACACGTCGGCAGCCGACGGCGTCCTGATGACCACTTTCATGTGACGGGCCAGCTCTCTACTCTTCCCCCCGTACTAAAGGGACACGCCACGAACTCCGTGATCCACCACCAACGATGTCGTTAGTTGGAGCTTAACCCATCTTGATATTTGGTCTCGATTAATTAATTACTCGTGATGATCTCAATCAACACGTTTGCTGCATGATTTTGCTACAGGAGAACGAAAGGAATGAACGAACGAACGGCAATGCATATATATGCTACAGTACAGGCACAGTTTTTCTGTCCCGTGGCACGTGCGATTTCACCGTGACATATAGTATTGGCTGCCATTTGGGTACTACTAGTACTAACCGGTTGAAGTGTGTCATATGGAACTTGGCAGTTTTGACAGGACACGGGCGCATGTGCTGCGACGCGAACGTGGGCAGCACGTCCTCCTGCGCCCGCCCAACACCCGGTTTGTTCGCCGAGCTGGCACGCTCAGGCGTTCCCAGCTGTGACGTGCCGTGACAAGCTTAGATCCTTATATTCTGGTTAGGTGGGGGTAAAACTTTCCAGGCCCTATCACATCGGATGTTGGATATTAATTATAAATATTAAACGTAGATTATTAATAAAATGCATCTATAATCTTGGATTAATTCGTGAGACTAATCTATTGAGTCTAATTAATTCACAATTAGCCTAGTAAACATTCTCTAATTATATATTAATTAGACTTAAAAAATTTGTCAAGCGAATTAGCTTTTATTTATGTAATTAGTTTTATAAATAGTCTATATTTAATACTCTAAATTAGTATCTAAATACATGGACTAAAGTTAAGTCCGTGAATACCAACACCACCTTAATCATGCGATGTAATTAAGGATGAAAAAAAGAAATTCATGTGTGGTTTATCGACGCAGGATGAGAATTATGACGAGATGAGGTGATCGATCGCTTCATGCACCGCAGATCTATCAATACTGCCTTACCAGCGTTTTTGCCCAGTGAAGTGAATCCATGTATGCCAATGGAAGGGAAAATTAGAAACCTAAAATAAGGCGGAGGAAGACAGGTTTCGAAGTGATATTTTGCCGATACATTTCTTTGGTCAAGGGGCAGTTAAGGCCTACACATAACAGCATATTAGTTTATTGGAGTGACATGTAAGGGGTACTACCATTTTAGAAATGATTTTAGGTTGGTTTCTTACTTTACTCTATCAAAGAAAGGAAAATTGAACAAGTGCAATGCCCAGCCAAAAAAGTCATAGGGTTGCTAGCATATCTTAGGACAAAAATTGAAGGTTGCAATAAAAGCTCATCCATTACAACCAGCAGATATGGCATCATTCCCTCTTAAACTCCGCTTTCATCCTAGAAAAAAATATATCGGTACTTTTTTAATGGATAGTAGTAATTTTTTAAGTATACTTAGCGTCGTTTTACCTCAACTAAAACTAATGTTGTTTCGTAGTACTCCAGACCTTTAAATATAGAAAACCACTCGAAGCTTGCTAAAATAATATTGATTATATTTTAAAATATAATCTACCAAGAACAATATATACCTTTAAAACAAGATTTCATACTAATACATTTTATAGTTATTTTGATGAAAGAAATATATATATGTTTGAACTGATAATGTTTTTTTTGTGTGTGAGAGAGCAAAATGTTTTAGTACTAACTATTTCGCCTTTTAAAATTTTTGAACGTATAACTTTTTGAAGTATTCAGAACTTAATGTTCCCTACATGGGGCACAATGTTTCAATTAGTGTTCCACTCAGATACTAGATCAGCTACTGACGGATTTACGCCATTCCCAAATTCTATCTTGTATTCTCCTTCGAAGCCAGAATGAGAAATGGATAGTGTCGGATATCTCATCATTTATCTCTTATCCTATTCATATTTTTTTAATCAGACAGAAGAACAAAAATCTATTTGCATATCTAATCCATACCATAGAAATTAAATCTAAGGAGACAATTAAAACATAAAAAACTGCATCAAGAAAAATATGTTATATTACTCGTTAGCTATTTTACCATGTTTATAAGTGGACTCATAATATATTTTAGTATATATTTGATAATAGGGGACACAGTCGCTATTCTTATACCCTAAGCCCATATTTTTCGGTAGATATAGAGTTGGATTTTGGATAGTATCGTGTATCTTTTTTCTCTTCCATATCCTTCACGTGAGCTTCAAGTCTGGTGGGCAAAATATTCATCTCATTTTATCCACATCTATTTATCTATAGTGTTATTTTGCTGCATACTATTTTTATCATATATTTTCTTTCCAATGTTATAGTAAGTGATCTTTCACTGATGGTTAACTGAAACATTTTAAGCGCTTGATTTTTATACTTATATCGACATCTATGCTCAAACAAGGCTAATTCAACTCAAACCATTTCTCTCACATATCCTAAAAATCATAATAACAATAGTACTAACAAATAAGGAGTACATCAAAATACTTGCAACTTGACAAAACCCAAATAATTCCAGCCTCCTTTTCACTTTCCCTTTCCCTTTCCCATGCATGTTCTTTAGCCTCCTCACAGGCCTACAGCTACACTAGAGAGGAGTACTCCACTGCCCGTATCAAAACCACCACTGCCTGCTGCTTAGATCTCGCTCCGCGCGCTATTCACGGGAATGCCACTGCCCTCGCCGCCGTCTCGCCGTCCCGCCGCCGCCGCCGCCCAGTGACCCGCGCGCGCCCCGGCGATGGCGCGCCCCCGCCCGCGCCGCCCGGCGCCGGCGAGGTCCCCCGACCCAGCCGCCACAACGCCGCGCCAGGCGGCGCCCGGCTCCCGCCACCGGACGCCGCGCCGCGGTGGCCGTGGCCGGCTGCTCGTCCAGAGCCCCTCCCTCGCCTCCGCGCGCCGCGCGGCGGCGGCGGCGGCGCCGTTGCCGGTGGCCCCGCCCCCGGACACCCCGCCTCTGCGGTGGCCCGCGGCCCGCGGCGGGGACGCCGTCGCGCCGTGCGGTGCCGGAGCGGGCGCGGGCGCGTCGGTGAGGAAGATTGCGGCGGCTCTCTGGCGCGTGCATCCGCCGCAGGCGCCGCCGCCGACGGAGTCCCGGGAGGCGCCGCGCCGACGGTTCGAGGTAGGCGGCCTTGTCTTTCAGATCCGTGTGGATCTTTTGTTGTGAGGTTGCGGTAGACCTTGATGCGTTCTAGGGTTCTGATTCGGCCGCGCGCTGTTGGAATCTGCGATAACGTCGCCGCCTTGCTCCCCTTTCCTTGTGCATTTTCCGCAGCTCAAACTTGTAATTTTGCAGAGTCGCTGTTGAGTAGTTGGGGAATCGAGTGGTCTGGTGCTTTGTCATACTTGTTCTTTTGTTGTTCTTTGGAATGTTGCAAATTTGGAGCTTTTCAAAAAGTTTTTGAGCTGATTCTTCTGAAAGCTATGAAAACACTCGCGCATCCACGGAGCGGATCGAGTGTGTTTTGGATGCGAACTTTTTGCGCAATATGTCGCTATCTCCCCTAAAGAGTGGAAACTTCAACCGTGTTGCGCCACCAATTCAAGGGACCTCATGTTAATGATGAAAACCGGAGCTGGAAGTCTAGCATCTTGCATCCATTTTGAAGCTAGAACTCACATCTTGCCTTGATTCGGGACTTTAGGATTGCATTTTTCAGCATTTTTTGCTTATTAGGTTGGAGTCTTTAGTAATTCACGCATTATTTTGGCTGGGACATTATGGTTTTAGGGCGAATGGCAGTGTTCATCTCTCCAGATCTGTCTGAAACAGTTGGCTTGCACGGTATCATGCTGGATTTTTGTAAGTTCATTTTCTGCATCGTTCCAATTAGTGATCCTAATCGTTTCCAGATTACTTCTATTTGGCTGCTTCTCCATCAATTTGGGGCAGAATATGTGATATCCGCATATTCGATATGTTATCTACATAGCTGTTGTTAGGACATAGGACGCAATCCATGTGGTCCCCGGATATTAGCTGCATCTAATGCTATTGGGCAATGCAATCCTTCAAATGGAGAGTTTTGGACAAGCAACATCATTTTGCATACGATTTTCATTGTTCTGTTTTCAGTTTTCAATTGTTGTTGGTGAACTAAAAGATATAACAAATTTTGCAGCCTAGCCCAAAGCAACCGCATACGCCTGATCGTTGTAATTATTATAAAGCGCTTCTTGAAGGTAGGACAGGAAGTAAGCCTCTTGGCAACGACATCATTCAGGAGGTATTATTTGTTCGTGAATCAGTACAATTTGTCACCTTCCATGCTGTTTGGTTTGATTAATGAAATGCTTGTGAACCATTATTAGGTGGGAGCTTACTCTCCATCCCCTCGAATTGAAATGGAGGTGGCAACAAAGTGGGACCGTCGGGGCCTCAACAATTTGAGGGGTACTGATGGTGCTTTGTGTGACCGTTATCCGGTATCTGCCGATGCAGAAATCTCTGCGTTAAAGGCAGAGCTTTTGCAGGCCCACAACCGGATCCATGAGCTTGAAGCTGAGAGTCGATCTGCAAAGAAGAAGCTTGATCACCTGGTGAGGAACCTTGCTGAGGAAAAGGCATCCTGGAGGAGCAAGGAGAATGATAAGGTTAGAAACATCTTAGATGCTGTTAAAGAGGAACTGAACCGGGAGAGGAAAAATCGTCAAAGGGCAGAAATCATGAATTCCAAGTTGGTCAGTGAGCTATCTGAGTTGAAATCAGCAGCGAAGCGATATTTGCAAGATTATGAAAAGGAACGGAAGGCTAGGGAGTTAATGGAGGAGGTTTGTGACGAATTAGCGAAGGAGATTGCGGAAGACAAAGCTGAGGTTGAGGCCCTGAAGAGTGAATCAATGAAGATGAGAGATGAGGTGGAGGAAGAAAAGAAGATGTTGCAGATGGCAGAGGTTTGGCGTGAAGAGAGGGTACAGATGAAGCTTGTTGATGCAAAGCTGACACTGGACAGCAAGTATTCACAGCTAAGCAAGCTTCAGTCTGACCTTGAGTCTTTCCTCAGTTTCCACCAAGGCAACGGTGTGAACAAAGAAGCATTAAGAGATGGAGAAAGGCTCAGGGAAGCAATTTGCTCCATGAAGTTTCATGACATCAAAGAGTTCTCTTACAAACCACCACCTCCTTCAGAGGACATTTTTGCTGTGTTCGAGGAACTCAGAGAGAGGGATGATGCTAATGAGAAGGAGATTGGGCAGTGTAATGGAGGTACCCCCAAGAGGCATGCAACGAAGATCCATACAGTTAGTCCGGAAACAGACATCTTCTTGGAAAAACCATTGAACAAATATTCCAATCAACTGTGTGATAGAAATGAGGAGGAAGATGATAGTGGATGGGAGACTGTCAGCCATGTTGATGAGCAGGGCTCTAGCAATTCACCGGATGGAAGCGAACCATCGGTAAATGGGTTTTGTGGTGGAAATGATGCATCGGTGAGTGGAACAGATTGGGATGACAACAGGTCAAATAGCGAGATCAGTGAAGTCTGTTCAACAACAGCAGAGAAGTACCGGAAGAAGGGGTCTTCATTTGGCAGACTGTGGAGATCGTCGAATGGTGATGGCCATAAGAAGACGGGATCCGAGTTACTGAACGGCAGGCTCTCAAGCGGTCGAATGTCAAATGCTGCACTTTCTCCTAGCTTGAAGAACGGAGAAGTGTGCACAGTTTCACCAAGCGTCGGAGAATGGAGTCCAGACCTGCTAAACCCTCATGTGGTTCGTGCCATGAAAGGATGCATAGAGTGGCCCCGGGGCGCGCAGAAACAGAACACGCATAACCTCAAGTCCAAACTTCTGGAGGCAAAGCTCGACGGGCATAAGGTCCAGCTGCGTCAGGCACTGAAGCAGAAGATATAAGCAATGCCGAATCAAGCAATCTCATGTGTTCAGTGGTTCAGAAGGAGAACATTTCCATGCCTGATGGACGGTGTATCCTCTTCTGGAGCAGGCAGGCACCCTACCGGGTATATGGTAGAGGAGGAAGTGTTGCAGCACTGATCCTCAAAGGGGGTGCTATCGGTGGCTGTAACTAATTGATGATCCGATAGCACATTAGCTTGTTTAGAAGAATCAGGTGCTCCATGTAATCAAATGTAAAACTAGTAATTTCAATCAAATGCATTATTCAACCATGTTTATTACTACTACTAACTTCTTGGGCTACATACACCTCTCATGTGATTCAGATATGTAGCATGGCTATGTTAATTATACTCCTTGATGATATATGTCAGGTGAACCAAACCGATCAATTTGCATGATGGATGTGGCCATCTATTGCAGGGAGCTCATCATCACTCTCCGTAAGTTCCCACCGGAAGGAATGATAAGCCTTCGGGTGGCAACTTGGGCAGGGGGGGTCCAGGAGGTTTACACTTGCTCAACCACAATGATGCGTAGGATGGTCTGGTTCGCCACGCTTGCGAGCGATGTCGCCTCCGTGAACGGCACGAAGAATGCGTGACAACTCTCACAGGCGTGCTGCTCATGACGTTCTCCGTTGCCGAGAGCGTGTTTGCATGGCCAGGCGTGGTGGATGAGCTGAGCCGAGTCGCCGCCTCGCCGGTTTGACGCTCAAAAATCTACGTCGTCGTTGCTGCTTGCAATCCTCGTCACTGGCTGCATTGGCTCTGGTACTTGCATAGCATTGCACAATCCTCGTCACCATCACTCTGCAACAGCTGCTTGTTCTGGTACTTGCATAGCCAGCAAAGATAAGCTTTCTTTTCCACCAAGTGTCTGCCACTGCGTACAGTATAATTAAAAGCACAACAAATCGCAGGCAAAAGCACTCTTCACCTGCGATGTAAATTGGAAGGGGAGAAAACAATCTTTACATCACATGGACATTGCTTCCAAGATATTGGATCCGTGGGACGGAGGAAAAATTTGATGGCTGTACTTAGGAAAAAATTCTCAATATTCTGGGACGGAGAGGTAGTAGAAATTGCCTTCTCCTAGCACTACCGGCGGGACAAGACGCACAACGGCACAGCTTACACTCCGATACAATTGAACCATAGGAAAAAAAAGCAAGGACATCACGGAAAATTAATACCGATACAAGGAAATTCAAAATGGCGCCAGATGTTGAAATATTACTATGACAGATCAACAGGTAGCCAGCATGTTGGAAGTAACCACGATGATAGCAGACACAGGAACCAAAACCAGATGTATAGTCAAATAGCAAGTACTTTTATTAGATTGACAATATCCCAGACAAACCATACTCATAATATGCCGGTAGTGCATAATGAGGACACAACTTGCATCAAGCAAGAATCGCTTTAATAGCAACAAATAGTCTTATGACTTCAAATATAGAGAACAGTAACTGGTAGCTTCAGAGGCTTCCCAATATCTGGCAGCACACGATATTGCATACGAGCATCTATAGGCAGCTTAGAAACCGTGAATCTTGATGTTGTCCTTCTTAGCAATCCCAGCCTAGCAAAAAGAGATAAAAAATCAGATTCAGAATATAAATAGGTCAACTTAGCAGCATTAATCTCTTGAGAAGTCATAGCTCTGCTCTGATAATTCTCAATACCTGAACTAGGAACGTGGCAACATTCTTACGCTGATCACCTTGAAGCTGAATGACCTGCAACCACAAATTTACGTTACCAGCACATCCTCATAGCAGAAAACTGAGAACCAGTTAAGCATTGCTAAGTGCATACCTGGCCAAGCTCTGGATCTTGGACTACAGTACCATTGCAGCAGAACTCCTTTTTCAGATCCTTGAGGATCTTGTTGTAACTGTACTCCTTCTTTAAGCCCTGAACAGTAGTTAGACTCTTTCTGCCGTTGCGCTGCTGGATGCGCACATGCACATAATCCTTTGCTCCAGGGCCAGCGCCGGAGTCCTCAGCATTTGCCTCAGCAAACGGATCTATCAAAACAATGCAACATCATCAGAACACAGATAGGATATCACCAGAGAACAGATAGGAATTTCAATACAGCTCATCACATATGCTATGTACGCTGTTGATCATTTTACAATAAACATGAACCTCTATGCCATGCGCACATTTTGGTAAATTAATTCATGATTCATTAATCCAACGTTGACAAGTTAGAAGCCCATTAGTTTGTATTACAACGAAACAAGAAGTGATCAAACTATACAAAGTTTGCTTCATTCAGGAGGAAGTGATCAAATTATACAAAGTTTGGTTCATTCAGGAGGTAGCATAGATGAACTGAAGCGTACCGAAGGCAGATGGAAGCTGAACGTCGAGATCAGACATGAAACTTGTTTGTTGATTGGTTGGCACCGGACAGATCAAGCTTTTACTCGTTGGTCTTTATGTGGAACCTGCACAGATCACTCACATCAATATGCTATACCAAAGGCACAATGAAGAAATTAAATTGCAGCTAGCACAGAACAATATCCAGCAAGCCCCCCAACATAAAATTTTCTATAGCAGAAGCGCACAGCCTAATCATGTTCTTCGTATTCGATCAACCCCTACACATGGAGTTCCCCCAATTTCTCGGCGGGAAGGGGCGATGAATTCAAGGTCATGGTTCCCAAATCGTTATTGTACGGGGCTTATTCCCTTCGATGCCCGTACCTTCCATGCTAATAAATCAACCACCAAACATGAGTTCCCCCAATTTCTGGGCAGGACGAGGCGACAGATTTTCAAGGTCACGATTCCCCCAAATCTTACTCATACGCTGCACAAATCGTAATATGAAACTCCAGTGAACGGATCACTATATCTAACCATCTCAAGGTTGTTCATGAATTCCCCAAAGCAAGGAAGAACGAATCAGATCGTATTAGGGTTTCCACCCCACCCCAAAATCGCGAAATTAACCATGAGACTCCCCAAATCCCCCCAAATCAAACCACCCATCACCCCCAAACGAACACATCCAACCCATCTACGCCTCCTCCGACGCCCCAAACACCCCTGAATCAAAGCAAAATCGCACCAAATCCGTTCCGCCCAAAACCTCCACACCCACGCAACAACTCCGAAGCTACGAGATCCGTTTCTTCACCGGGACCAACGACCTATCGAACCGATCGAAAATTCATGACCAGATGCGACCGAACACCCAGAGATCCCCAAATCTGAGACATGCATGCACCTGATTAGGAAGAGAGGAAAGGGGAATACCTGTCCTTTTTTTCGGTGGTGGAGCGCACGCGAGGCGGAAGGCGAGAGGAGGGAGGAAGGCAGATAAGACTTGACCAGGAGCTGCGTTGTACCGACGCCTCCGGCCGGGTTGCTTATATAGAGGGGAAAACGTGTAATTAGGCAAACCGCCAACGCTAGAGACGCTAATTATACATGCCCACTTTGTACACGGTTCTTGGGCCTCTGGATTCCAGCCGACCTATCGAGATGGAGTATTTCCTTCTTTTTTTTCCCTTCTAATATACTTGTATATACAACTACTAATACTATATAGTAGTAGTATAGTACTGGGACCCACAACAAAAGTGTTTAGTATATTCATCACGAGATACATGACCGACAGTTTATTTTTGTCTGTCATTTTTTCCTCAGCCTTAAGATGTATCCAACGGCAGAGAGTGGGTAAGTAGCCTGTAGCTGATGTTAGGCTGCTTTGCACCGATCGACCTGGACTAAAGGCTGTTCAGATTGATAACATTTTCAATCATATTATTTTTTTTTGTCATAGTTGATAAAAATGTGTCTACGTTTAATTTGTTGTCAAACTTTAGTAAATACATCAGAAATCCTGCTAAAATTTTAGCAATATTATCAACTTGCCAAAATTTTGACAATGTTAAAATTTGATAAGGTTTATTTTGACTACAAAATAAAATCCAATAGCCATGGGCCAGCCGCCAGCACAATTCTCAGCTACTAAGGCCATCACCAATGCGGTGCTTCAGCCCGTCCCCATGGCGCCGGCCGTCCCCTTTTCCGTCCGCGTCGTTCCCCTGGGACGGAACGCGTTCCTCGGTTGGGAAAGGGTCGTTCGCCGCGCCTCGCCAGCTTTTCGTGGGGAGACGCAGCCAGGCGCCGCGCTGTGCGCGTGTGGAGCTCGTGGACACGGCGTCGTCCCCCCAAATTTCCCCTCGCACCCTCGCCTCTCTCGCTCTTCCCTCGGTCTCATCGCGCCGCGCCCGACACCGCCGGGACCGCCACCGTCGGCCTTAGAGTGAGAGAGAGAGAAGATAGGCAACGGCGACGACCGGATCTGGCCACCGCGCACCGCGGCAGCCGTCGGCCACCAGCCGGCGACGAGCGGAGACGGCTTGAGGCGCCCATGCTCGCCACCTCGCGCGCCTTGCCCGCCACCGCCGACGCCGCGGGGGGCCCAGATCCGCGGCGGGAGAGAGGGAGAGAGAGGGGCAGCGGTGGACACCAGCAACGGGAGAGGCGGCCCTCCTCGTCGTCCTCGCCGCCGCTCCCCGGGTCCGACGAGGCCGCCGCGGCCGAGGACCGCGCCATCGCCGAGCACGCCTCGCGTCTCCGGCGAGCGGCGGCGCGCTGGATCTGGCGCGGCGCGGCGTGGGATTGGAGGGGGAGCGTGGGATCTGGCGACGGCGGGGAGAGTGGCGAGCGGCGAGAGGGAGAGGAGAGTGGTGAGCAGCGGCGGCGAGAGGGAGAGAGAGAGAGGCGAGCGGCGGAGGGGACGAGGCGAGCACGCGTGGAGGCTTTTTGGCTAGGGAAGAGAGAGGGAAGAGAGGGATGTAAATGAGGACTTCTTTGGCTAGGGATGTAAGGGTGCGTTTGGTTGCTCGTATCCCCCTAGCCTGGCCCATCTCTCTCATCCAGGCTGAGTTTGGTCTGGTTGAGATGATGCACATGCAACTGTTTGGTTGTTTGCATTAGACTAGCCAGGCTGACACGAGATTTTGTTTGGTTACTCGCATATGAGATTCGCATATGAGATACAGGTTGAAAGAGAATTTGTTTGGTTGGTTGCATGGACAGTAGGGGTAGGTATCTCTTTTTCTAAAAGGTGAGATTACCACCTAGAACTTGTGGACTACCATTTAGATAAGCTAAAATTTAACTCAAGAAGAGTGTAAATTTCTAAGTACTAAACATTTGATTTTATCTTCTATATTAATTATTGATATTGAAGTTCGTGGCAACAATTATTTTAAGAATCGTCAAATGAGCAGGATATATATACACCGGTACATCTGCATGGCACAAAGTTATAAAATAAGTGAAATAATTAGCAATGCATACAGTAAACATCATTATATTCCCACATTTCATGGTCATGGTTTGCCAGTCGGTGAAAAAAGAAAAGAAAAAAAACAGAAAAAGAAACGGAGAGGAGAGGAGCTTCGTTCATGTCGCTAGGCCTGCCGCTCCGCCGAAGCCCCGACCTGCCGCTCGCCGTCGTGTGTGCGCTCTGTTCGGAGCTGTCAGGGCAACAAGATCCGGTGGCCATGAGCCCGCGGCTGCCGGATCTGGCAGAATCCAGCTCGTGGCCGCCGGATCCACTGGTATTTTGGCTGATGAAGGAAGGGAAGAGAAGCAGCCAAGATGGGGAATCCGTGACCAGTGAGGAGGAATCCGGTGGCCGGCGAGGTTGGAGGCGGTGGCGCAGAGAGGGGCAGTCGCCGAAACCTCCAGCGAGCTCCTTCACGCCTCCCTCTATTGGATATGGCGGCAGTGTCCTCCGTCGAGCCTCTATCTGCTGGATCCGATGGCGAGTGGCGACGTGCTCGAGGCCGTCGGTTCTAGCCCGTGAAGTAGAGACGGAGACGGAAGCTGTGGAGAAGTCGGTGAGGGTTAAGGATCTCGAGGTTGGAGACAATGGTGCGCGGCGACGACGACGGAGACGAGGGCGAAGAGCGGCGAGGAGCAATCGGATGGGCGAGAGAAACAAATGAGAGATGGGGGTGAGCAGATCGACCGACCCCTACGCGTTGCCTGCACCCGCTCGTGCGCACCTGCATCCGCTCGTCCCCACACGCTGCACAAGTCGAGCCTGGACGAGGAGCTACGAAGGAATCGGGCGTTCCCCCTCAGCCTGGCTGGGAGGCGGATTTTGCATCAGCGCATCCTGGTTCGCGCGTGCAAGCAGGCAACCAAACACATGCACCACATCCCGCTGGATGCGAGCCACCCTATGTACAGGCAACCAAACACACCCTAAATGAGCACGCGTGGACTTTTTTGGCTAGGGATGTAAATGAGGAGAAGAGAGAGAGGGGGGGAGAGGGGTAGTATAGTTAAATACCTACGTAGACTTTTTGGCTAGGGGTACTCGTTAGGCTATCAGGGTATCTTTCCTATTCTTAGAGTGTCCCTGATTGTAGATATCCTAATAGTGTCCATTAAAACTCAAAAGTCCGGCCCAACCCTTCCATCTGTACACCCCTAGTATCAGTCCATCTCATCCGAGGTTGCCAAGGAAGACAAGGTTAGTACTCCCTTCATCCCATGATATAAGGGATTTTGGATGGATGTGTCACATTTACCTAAAATCTCTTATATTATGGGAGCGAAGTAGTATCAACTAAGCACGAATCTCTCAACCGCAATATCCAAGTTGAAGAACTGGTTGCAGCCTTGCAGGCGGTACGTCGTAAGATGTCCCAGTGTATCACCATTACTGGCGTAAGATAGCACGGTGCACAAAAAAGGCACTACTAGTATAAGCAGTTTATTCTACAACCTTTGCCTTCTCACATCATGTCACAATGTCATGTGCAATGTCGGATGAAACACAGGAGTTACGAAACTACAGAATATTCGTTTAATGGCGATGACAAGTCTCATCCAAACAGAAAAGACGCAAAATTTGATTTCTCATTGCCAAGCAAATATGTACACAATGTCCCAACGCCACTGATCAAGTGAGGTTCAGCATTTGTTTTGTAGGTTCCTGGAGCAGGTCGCGTATGATCTGCCAATTCCATGTTTTAAGCAACTCTTTTACATCATTTGTTTTGTAGGTTCCATGCAGCCTGGTCTACAGCTAGGACGGAAAAACTTCCTGGAAGAAGTTGACCAGATCACCTTTGTGTGGGTCGAAGGCCAACAGTTTAGTCACTGCATCCTGAAATTATTCACACAAAGAATAGATCACTTTCAGATTCGCGTGCCTATATTGCATTTAAAACCAGCGGATAATAACCTGGTATTGTTGGTCCTTTGCTGCTAACTTCTCCCAGACCATGCGCCTTATAGGTCTCTTTGAGTGGATGTCCCCCAAAACAGTAACAGCTCTCTGAACAACTTCACTCGGAACACCTGTAAAAGAGTTGGAAACATGATGATCCTATTCGTGTGGACAATCTGGAGTAATATGCCATCTAGTTTCACTATATATATCTCCTAGAACCATCCACGTTCCATGTTACAGAAGGAACTTTTAGTAAAAATGATGCTACTCTTACTGCATAACATGTCAATTACTGAATTATAATGACAGTAACTATATCAACATGATATTTCAGCAGTTTATGTCTGCCTTGGAAAGAATCGGAGTAACTTATCGCTGTTATCATAATGCCAGCTGACCGCAGTTTGTTCTGAACATACCAGCAAGCTGTGCACAGTGTAGTCCTGCGAGAAGATCAATTTTAGTTGCATTTGACTTGAAAAGATGGAGTACATGTGTATAAATGTAGTGCATAAGCTTACCAAAGCTCAAGAGCGCTTGCCCAGGTACAAGTCTTCAACGTTTGCATTAGAATTTAAGATAGAAATTAGTACAAAACATGACATAATGGGTATGAGAAATACATAGCAGCTTCCATATCCACTTACCGATAAAGGAATATGACATCTTCGTTGTCTGTTTGTTCATCAGGATTCAGAACACTCATGGTATAACATTTGATATGTTCAGACTGCAAATTTCCATGTCAAAATTTTTTTATGAACAGGGTAAAAAAGGATCCAACAAAAAATAAAATAAATTGCTTTTACACAGTAATAACTAGATATTTGCTACCTGCGGCAGGTAGCTTTCTGTGAAAATCTGTGTCAGATGTGTTGACAAAAGGACCTGCAAGAGTACCATATCCCAACATAATACACTGGTAAATGTTAAAACTGCAAATTGTCGGTTCTTGTAGCATTATTGAATAGAAGTGGCTTATTGCATATCCAAGTTTGAGTAAGCTATTTATGAGATGTAGAAGAGCAATGAGCCAATAACTGTTGCTTTTACTCAATAAAACATAATATCATCACAAGGATTTTTTCATATATGATGCAGGTTGGAAGTAAAACCACATTCCCTCATGTTTGGAGAAGGTAATGTCAAGTTGATTGTTATTTGTAGAAGTATGGAGCAAAATAACCATTTAAGGGTATTAAGGCTGTGTTATTCCCCCACCTTTCCCAACTCACCTCCCTCGTGTTCCGCGCGCACGGGTGCGTTTTTTTGCAAAAAGTTTTTATACGAAAGTTGCTTTAGAAAATCATATTAATCCATTTTTCAAGAAAAATTAATAAATACTTAATTAATCATAAGAAAATGTGTCGCTCCATTTTGCGTGCGCGGGAGGTGAGTAACATAGCCTAAGTGATTTAGTATGATTTCAATAAACCTATAGTCTTAACTAATTATAATATACTAGTCAAGCAATACTTGGATGTATACATATCCGCTTGAGTTTAAATAATAGTAGTCTCCACGAAAAGGTTTAATAACGTATGAATCAGGCAGGCAACCCTAGCACATTTACATTTATACTTCTTTTTCGAGAATATGCAGGAGAACTGCGTATTATTTTTATTGAAGTATGGAGAAAAATAGCACATTCATGCTCAGTAGCAACATTTTTCCAAGCTAGCACCTTTGGAGGACAATCGTAGTCTGTAAAATGGCTGATAGTTCCTCCAAGCAGACCAATACCATCTAGAAAGGATCAGAAAAGAAAAGCCCCAACTGTTACAGTGGTGATGGATTTAGAAGGGGGAAGGCAGCGAATTTAAAATTTTATGTACTCTTGCCTTCTGTTAGAGTGCCTTTTCCGAATTCATCCAATAAGCATAGGGATCTCGATGTTGCGTGCCTGCAATACTTAGCTGCATGTTCAATATCATGAGGCAACAAAACCTTAGGTTGAGATTACCGTGTTAACTCTTACCTGAGCATTGTTCCAACTTGATGTAAATCAATCATAAAAGTTGACTGTTCACTTGTCATGGATTTGCTGCCCATTGCACAGAAAATCCTGCAAAGCATTATTTGCAATGTCAAGGATGCCATGTGTTAGTCTAGTATTATCTATTATGTATTAATAACAGATAATGTTTGATTCTAATTCATTGTTCAGCATACTCAACAAGTCGATACATTATTGGCATCTGGTCAAAGAATATTAACACATCAATTGTTTCCTAGTTTCTAGTTTGTAGCATAGGCCATATGCGACATATAGACGGTGTGCTTTTAAGTGATAGACAGACCTATCTGTCAATCCAACAATGGCAGAATCAGCAGGAACAAAGCTTCCAATATGAGCAAGAAAAACCACCAAAGCCACCTTGAAGGCAAATGTCCAACATAGTTAGATCGTTGTCGTGCAATTCACTGGTTTATGCTTCAGTAGGAAATATACACAATATCAAAATTACCTGCTTGATGTAAATGCTTTTCCCTGAGTAGTTAGGTCCAGTTATTATGTTGATTCGTCCTAGTATAAAAATAGTATTAAGTCAGAAAGTTCAAAACTATTACAGTGTAAACTTGTTGGTATACATTTCACGAGAACTAATTACCTGAACTGCGGATTTTAGTGTCATTTGGAACGAAGGTATCAACAGTCATTTCCTGCAAAGCATGTCTAAAATTGATTCTGGAGTAAGTTTACGAACTTTTGGATAAAAATATCTAAACCATACACTGTTAGTAATACCCATCAAAGATGTAACATGAGAGTATACTGTGGATAAATACTAACCTGCCATTCTGTATCTCAAGTATGGAATCCTCAGTTAAGATGGGCCTCACATAATTGTTTTGGCGAGCAACAATTGCCAACGATAATATGCTGGTGTAACGGTAATAATAAGAACACATTAGATAAGCATGAAGTAACTAAGTTGAACAATACCACTATATGCACAATAATTGCACGCATACCAATCAAGTTCTGCTGCAAAGTTTACTGCTTTCGTCAGTTGAGGTATAAACTGGCAAACACGACACACTAAATCCCTTATAATTGCTCTCTCCATGTCTGTATCAATATGACCCCATTAGAGTAAAAAAAATCCATTGCATCTATAGTGATAATAAATACTTGGGAGTGTTTTCTAAGAAATTCTACATTATGATTTTGGACAAGTAACTAATATTTCATGAAGCATTAATATCATCGGAAGGTCATTTGAGATTGATGACATACCAACGGGCTTATGCAACCAAACTGAAGCAGTCCATAGAGCACAGAAGAAAAAAGCCAACTAAACTTTGATAAAAACTGTACAATCTACCTCTTAAAGTACACCAAGTTATGGAAAATATGGTGATTACTGGAGTATAGGAGTAATTCTAAAAATCCTTTTGCAATTAACATTTTGGGTGTAACTGGAGTATGACAGGATCTGTTTGTAGGTAAAGTACTAGCTGCCTTTTTATTCACGGACTGTAACATTGAAGGTAAACTGTTAAAATACCCTAAAACTACCCCCAAAAAAGAAAGTTCACACAACATTCATTCGAAGAAATTAGGATGGTTTTGTCTTCATCATCAGCAAGACAGAAAAAAAAAGAAGTAAACAAATCAATGAATGAAACTACCAAGAATTTTATGGTAAATATCGCCCAGAAGATTGTCAAGTTCTCTCGTCTTTTGAGTATGATAGTAGAACCTTCTCTCCTCTCCTTCCTCAGAAAACTGATAAAAAGGGAAATTATTACATACTCAAAACTTAAACCCAAAATAAAAATAAGACAGCGCATACCGCAAATTCAAAATCTGGAAGTCCTATCAACAAGGCATCACTTATCTTCTCATCGAAAAAACACATTAAATATCCTGGGAACAGCAAGCATGAAATACATAAATAGTGGTGAATACGAATGTTCAGATGCAAGATTTTTTTCTCAAAAAGAGCATGTTGAACATTACCATCATTATTTAGCAGCTACATATTTCTAACTAGCTTTTGCCTCTATTTTCTTTTACTTGACAACTATCAATGTCAAATAAAAAAACAGAGGGAGTATATTTCAGGTGGTAGTGATGATAGTTGGTTCTACATCCATGCTAAAATCATATATAGAAAGGTAGGTAATATCAAATTAAATAGCACAATAAGAAAAAGGCGGTATGAAAATGCAACAGATGAGGGAAAAAGATACCTATTTGGTGTACATAGACGATTAGAGGAGCTTTTCTGCATTCAAATGAGAAAGGGAAGGAGGCAATTTCATTGGCTGACACCTAGAAACAACTAAGTTATTAGAAATTATGAAATAAAGGATTCAAATTAATTTTTGGGTCTGAAGATTCATTACCTGCTCCAAAAAATCAGGCAATTCTTCATAGACCATCCTCAGTTCGTCTAACTATTTTTCATTAAGAGAAATAAATTTAGACAAACCTTTATAATTATGATCATAGCAACAGGAAAATGTAGACATTTCGAAGAACCAAACAAGTTCAATAATTTAATAGCAGTAAAATAAACATAATCTGGCGAATATTTTTCTAAACAGTTCAAATTTACTAGTTAATACGAAGCACTAAATATTAGTTATAGACGAACAGCTAGGAAAACCATAATGATGAAAGCATGCAACCACCCTCCCACTCTCCCACACCCAACATGTGCATTGTACAAATTCCAAACCATGACCTGCGCCTGGTCTCCCCAATATGACTAGATCCCTGTGAACAACTGAACTATAAGTCCATAACCAGGTTTGAAAATTTCATATGTAGAACCATTGGTAGATAAACAGCATTTGAGAACAAGGGAATACACTCAGCAGAAAGTAGCACCATGGTGAGAACTACAACTGGAACATCTGAGGATGATAATGGCAAAATCTATATTACTTTAAACAGGAGTTGCTGGTACTGATGATGTCTGCCCCCCCCTCCCCCCCAAATCCTCACAATACCTTTAAAGTGATGCTTAATTACATGGAACGAGAACCTAAAAATGTAATTCAAGAACAGAACATGACTCCGGCATAAAGAAAGAAGTGCAAGGTCCAACCTCCTCACATAATCCGTCTTTCACCAGTGTGTCGTAGCCTTTTTCTTTACCCCGTTGCACATCAATCACACCAACTACCTATGGATAACAGATGTATACAACCATTGACCTCATATATGAGAAAGAAAAAGGGCTAAGTAAAGCTCCACAGAAGCCCAGATAAATATGCGCCTTTACGGTGAAAAAGTTCTGGAATTATCAGCATTAAGTCCCATAGGCTCAATATTCCTTGGAAAAAGTTGCCAGTTGCAGAAATAGCCATTTAAGTCAGGAAGATATTGATGACAATACCAAAGTGGCAAACTGCATACATGGCATCTGACAAACTAATAATATGGGAACAGGTCTCTAGCGGGACTGTGCATATTTGCATGGAAACGTGTAGCTCACTACCAATACCAGTATGAATACATCTAGGACCTCCATAACACTGCCAAATTTTTAATCTTAATACTTCAAAAGAATAAACCTGCAAATAATCATGCTCTCTTAATATTATCAAGCATCAGTCCACTACACAGTCAAGGCCCACACTTTATGGTGATAATCTCCATACTGCAGTATGCTGCATCGTTAGAGATAAAAACCCAGGAGATGAGCACATGCATCTGTATAATTCACTGCTAACAATTGTCTCATCAAGCTATCAGGAGAATAAGCTCAAGCAGTCAAGTAAAACTATATGGTCTAACACAGGCTACATAAATCAAAAGTTCCATTGTTGGTATTGTTGTATCCAATGATCTAATGATCTATCACACTACATTCTAAAGGCCTGTTCACTTTGATCCCAAAATAAATCCTACCGAATTTTGGTAAAGTTTGGCAAATGCTAAAAAATGGTAAGGTAGAGGTTTGGCGCCTTACCAATTCTTTTGTGTGGAGCTATGTGAAGATTCTAGAAAATTACCAAATTTTGGCATGGTATAATGTGGTACGTTATTCGAGACACGTTTAGACTGCTATCTTACCAAAATTTGGCAATGCCAAAACTTGGTAAGGTTGAAAATGGTAGCAAAGTGAACAAGCCCTAAGTTAAAGGCAAAACAATGTATCCGAATTTCCTTGTTCATTTCAAGTAAGATGCAATTGTGTTGCAACTGACCAGATCTGATACATAATCCAGCTCTTCTGTAATGGAAGAATTGGCCTGAAAACATTAAAGTTTCATGAATGTGGAGAAAGCATTATTATAAAATAAGGTTTCATGGATGTGCAATAACACTATTGTACCAAATTTCTATTATTTAAGTGATGATGAAAATTAATAGCCCCTACTTGGAGGCATACCTTTCCAACCAAGTCAATGTTCATATGTTGTAATTTGATTGCCAAATGCTCTGATATTCCTACTTCAAAAATCTTGTTTATATGCAGAAGAGAGCAAATGCACTGAAATAAGAGAAGTGAAAGAAAAGGGATATTATCAGCAAGAGAAATGAAAGAAAAGAAAATCATGCACGTATGGGTGCTTCGTATCTTGCACTTAGGGCAGAGCTTCAAATATGGAATAGCTAAGTGGGAGAAGGAAAACGCAGGAGCATATTCAAAGTGATTGTGCATTTATAAAGTAATAGCCAGATCCATATGCATCATTACAGGTAGGTACCTTCAGAAATGCATGCCAGTCACTGCTTGTACAGAATGAACTTGGAGAGTTGAATTTCTTCAGAAAAATATAAAATGTCAGTTATGCACATTAGAAAAACTGTGAAGAAGAATAATGTGTGCTCAAAGAGAATAAGAATAACCACGACATGTTATGATAAGCATATAATTATCATGATCCGTTGATTCAATTATTTCACAGTTAACATTACTCTTGAGTCTCTTCTACTTCAAATAGAATAATTGCTAACTTAAAAAAAGCAAGGCTTTGTTCCTTCTTATATGTACAACAACGACAACATATATATCATTGAGAACAAAACTCACAATGTGTGCGAGTCCAAGAAAACAAAGCCATGAGCAATGACCAAATACTAAAAGAGAACTACAGAATTTATACATTTATGTGAAGGGTAAAACACAAGCAACACCAACATACTCAACACAAAAGGCAGGTTTAACCTCTGTTTTTCAACAGAGGACTGTGAGATACTATCATTTGTTTACTTTATTTCAGCACACCTCTCTTTTTATAACATGGGGAATGATAAGAAAAGGAGGTACAAGTAACATACAGAGTAAAGATAATAGCACCTTGAGCATGTGGGGAATATCTCTGACAGACTTCAAAGTCCCACGCAGTGCAGACATTACATCTTCACAGCAAAGAAAGAATGATATCTAGCATGTCTAGGAGAAACAGTTCAGAAATCTACTGGTACCTTTTTGGTATTGAGCATTGGGGAAATTGAGAAATGTGTATTCAACAAATTAAGGATACTGTATTGAGGCGATTATTTATGACATCAATATCGATTATAGGACGTAAAAACCATGTCCTGGAATGAAGCATAAAATTAGTTAAGACGAATGCCATTCTTACTGCAAATCTGCAATCATGATTATAGAAAGTAACAGTGACCTCAAGAGATGTTTTCCCATAGGAGTGACGCACTACAATCCACAAGACCACAACATAATCAGTAAACTGGTAGAAACGAAGAATAGAAGAGAAATATCTCATTTACCTTATTGAGCATACCAAAAACTGAGAACCTGTAATTTTTTGTTACTATTACAAATCAGAACCATGGCTATGAGAAAGTACAAGGTTTAGACAAAATCCTTACCCTTCTTTAGCCCTTCCAATTCCCATGTAACTGGGGTGTTTATCTACTTGAAAAATCTGTAGCGCCTCGTGAGCTGTTGCATCAAGTTTCAGGAACTTGTCCCTGAGAGCGTGTCAAGGAATATAATACTAAATACACAAAAACATGAGAATACCAGCCTGTTAAGAATGCATCGAACACTATGCAACAAATTGTCAAGATATAACTTTACCCTGAAGAGTACCTACAATCCTACATAAATAGCTTTCTAACTTGTTTCCAAAGTAAAACCACAAAAACATGCTGATCAGTACATTAGCACATTTAGTCCGTATAATATCATTACGGATAAAAGGATAAAATGATATCTGTGCCACAGAATCAATAGCAATGGATGCTCCACCTTCCATCTGATCAAGGGTATCAAGAAGCCTCTCGTTGTCTAATATAGCAAGAAGACCTCCAGCAGCACGAACTTGAACGTCACTTCCAAGATCCATCATGGAATTAAGCTGTAAACAAATCCTAAAATTATTACCACTGCATAATAACAAAACTTGAAAGACAAATCTGAGTGACAGAAACAAAAAATTGAGCCAGAAGGGCGAGTGATAGAAAAGGAAATAGAAAGAGTGTAACAGCAACTTGTGTGAGACAAATAAAGGATGTCCAGTGGAAGATGCAAACAGATCTTCACACAGAAAATGCTACTCAACAGCTCATTACAATGAAGATAAAAGATCTGTTTCTAACTATGCAATTGAGCATAATGGACATGTACTTTCTTCACCGTAAATGAGAGTGTGGGTCCGAAGGTTCCACCTATCAGCTCAAAGGTGTATCAGAAATTAAGAGATGAGATATGTAAGTGATAGAAAAACGGGTTGATGACGTTATTTTTTTTAATTCTGTTGCAACGCATGGGCAATATGCTAATATTCATAAATTGTGCATGCTATATGTGACAATGAAGAAATGTCAGAAAAGGAATATATGGCTTTAGCAGTAGTTTGAACAATAATTCATAAATGCTTAAGCTCGTGCCAATGTAGATGATCTAAAACATATAAGTACAAACGAGTAGAGGCAATCTCACTTAAATCACTTACAAAACAGATCCTTTCTTTTACACTTAACCCTTCGTCCATAGCTGCGACTTTCAAGTACATTAATCTGAAATTTACAAACACAATGATATTTCATCATCACATCATCAGAAATATAATGATTGACAGGTGAAGGTACTATTAGCCTACAAGGTTGTTGCTTGTAATGAATTTTTCCCGGAATTGATAATTCTTGGTTTCCTCATTGAAAAGGGATCGGCCAACATCTATGCATCACAAGATCGCGGTATGTAACATAAGTTACCAAACACCTCTGTTAATGAATACTCCCTCTGTTTCATATTGTAAGACTTTTTGGCCTTACCTAGATTTATCCATTGATCAATGTATATGTTTTCTATATATATCTAGATTCATTAACATATATATGAATCTAGGCAATGCTAGAAAGTTTTACATTGTGGAACGGAGGAAGTAGTACTTTAGAAGTTTCCAAACCATGCACATTTAGCTTTGATTGCTCACTTGATCAATGTGGTTGATTTCATATGCAGATGCAACATGCGACACAATTTAGCATTTGTGTATTAAGTCCTATCAATTCTTGCGAATCAGGTAAAGCATATTATGTGGTGTGGAAATCGCATGTATCACTTTAACAGAGCTGCTAACCTGTGCCAGGCTTGCTCATAGCTGAAGGTTGAGCTTTTCATGAGCTTCACAGCAGGGGCCTCATCATTACAATCTGAATGATTTTAACCAAAATCATTAAAGGAGAACTGAAGATATTGGTTAAAGAAATTGTTGCAGTTCAAACCATTTCGTTGTAACGCCAACAAAAGTGCCTCATCTGTTTTAGTACTTGTGTATATTGTGCTCGGTTTGGATTGATATTTCACTGTGACAGCAAAAAACACCACAGATTGTCAGCTATATAACCATGTTTCCTCTATTCGAAGTGTTCAAAATAGTTGACAGTGGACATGATGTAAATTGTTTGTTACCAAAAATGCATTATATTACAAGTAAATTTCCGTTTCATATAGATAGAGAAATTAGTTGGTATAAGTGTGGTCATATGAGCACCATACCAAGATCAATCAAAGGAAAATCTTCAGTTATGTCTTCCCAGATTTCCAATACAAAAAGCTGGTGCATACTTGAATCATAGTATGCTATTCCAACTCTGAGAATCATTAAAGTAGCATGGATTAATGTTAGATAGAGAAACAGTGGTATCTCAGACTCAACAAATCAAGTATGCATCAAAATTTTACCTGCGTCCTTGCATTACACAAGCCATATGAACCTGAAATGTAATCCTTTGACACTCAGTACGTACAGTGCATTAGAACAAAGACGTGCAAAATTTTCTACAGCTATAGGACCTGTTCGGCTGTTCCTCTTAAACTCAATACATCGATTCGTCTCATCATGAGAAATACAGAGGAATGCATTTGCATATCAAAATGTGCATCTGGTCGGAAGGTGGTTTGAGGCTTGTACAATGAACAACATTACAGAAATCATCAACTAAACTAGCAATGTTTGATTCGCCTTTCCTAAGCATCACCTGAACCAAATCTGAGCATGGCGCCGCATCCGCATCAGATAAAAGGAAAATGTGTGACGCTCGGGAAGGTGCCGTAAAAGCAGTACAGCTGATGTCTACAACTACTAAGCTACATTCCAGACTAGAACACGACATTTTCGTTTAAAATAAAATAGAACCCGGCATCGCGCGGAACTGGGGTTTCGGCAACACGATTCGATCGGATTGCAGCGGGGTGGGGGAGGGGGGGGCAGAGAAATCTACTCCGTGTGGCGCAATAAGAGGCGAGGAACTCGGAAGGATCGGGCCAATACGCACCTGGGAGTCGACCTCCCTCTCGGACATCTCCTCCTCCTCTTCCTCGTCCATTTCGCCGGCTCGATCGCTCGCCCGGAGTTCCACCGTCAACCCCCGGCGAGAGCACCGACTTCGCCTCCCCCTCTCCTCTACTCGGCGGCTCCTCGCCTCCTGCTCCTCCTCCGAGAATGCGGTACAAATAGAGCGCAGATGCGGAGGCTGGAGGAAGCTAGGCAGCGACGGCGACGGCGAGCGCAGCTGCGCGGGCGCGGAGGATGGAGCAAGCTAGGCGGCGAGGGGCGAAGTGCGGCGGGAGCGTGGCTCGGGCACTGGCTTGTACGGGAAGGAAGTTGTTGGTTCCAGGCTTCCAGCCTCTTCCAGTTCCAGGGCAGGAGCGGTCGAGGATTAGCAGGCCAGGCTGCATTGAACCAGCTCTACGGCCCACCTCTGTTGGATCATCTAGGGCAGGAATAAGTTCACCGGAGGTCCCTCAAATTGACACCGAGATTTTTTAAGGTCCCTAAACTAGAATACCAGAAACGTGTGCCTCTAAAATTACTAAATCCATCCGTAGAAGGTCCCTCGGCAGTATTGACTCAGTTTTTGCCCAGTTTTGCTGACGTGTCGCGTTGTGGGACCCACTGGTCAGTCCGCCGTTGGGGAGTTAATAGACGGGGCTAAAGGCTTTGTCCTCGCCGTTTCCAGGCGTTGGCGCGACATTTTCCTCTTCTCGAGCTAAAACCCTAGCTTAGGGCGGCGGCGGTGGGGGCAACAAGAGGAGGTGAGGCTAGGCGATGGCGAGTTATTGCAGTGACCGGTCGTCAGGGTCGTCGCATCCCAGCAGTCGTGCTCCCATCCCGGCGTGAGTTGGGCCCTATGATTATCAGCCGACGGTGATGTGCCGGTGTGGTGCGAAGGCGGCGCGGTGGATTTCCTGGAGCGTGGACAACCCTGGTCGACGGTACTACCAATGCCACAATCAGGTGAGTGATGAAAATTTCGTTTGCTTGCTTGTTTTTTGTTTGAGCTTGCCATATTTTTCTGCTATCCTAATAGATGAAACATGTCTACTGTCCCTCCTTGGTGGGCATGCATGCATACTGTCATAAGTGGCAATCTGCCAACTATCACTTCTTGTAGTCTTGGATAGCAAACACACCCAAGGACAGCTAGCCCAGTCACACTTTGCCCTCACCCACTTGTGATCATCTTTAATAAAATTAATCACTTTCCTTTCAGCCAGGGCATATTTTATAATGGTCTTCTTGAACTGATGCTTAGAGCTGAACTTCATTCCTAGCTCAAAAACAGGAACCCCTGGCTGCTTCTGAAACCTTGGGAACTTGCCATTTCTTCTGACAAGCTCACCATCACTGCCAACCTCATCATATGAGTCTTCATCATCACTATCTGCATATGGGGTGTCATTGCCATCTTCTGGACCTCCAGCAGTTCTAGCTGACTGACTTTTAAACCCCTCAAACACAACCTCATCTAGCTCATGAACCTTTCCAGCTCTCATCTTCCTCTTCAACTCTTTGTAGTGTCTTTCTATCTCCCTAGCCTCTTCATCATCCTCAGAAGGGCAATCATCTCCTCCTACATAATCACTATCATCCTCACTGTCAGAAGGCAGGACAGTGTTTATGGGTGAGGTATCCCTAGAAGGTGAGTTCTCCCTCATAGGTGCATTTTCCCTCAAAGGTGACCTTTCCCTATAAATGACAATCCTCCCGCTGCTGACAACGCCCTCCCCTTCTCTTGTGTCGTGGCCGGCGCCGCCGGCAGCCGAACCTCTCGTGGCCCGTGGGCCGTGGCTCCGTGCTCGTTCGCCATCCGCTCCGCCCGCAGCCCGCCCACCAATGCTCTGCCCGCCATCGTGCTCGCCCGCCGCCCGCTCCGCCCGCAGCTAGCCGCCGTTCCACTGCCGTGCTCGCCCACCGCCGCTCCGCCAGTGAAGAGAAAAGTAAAGAGGAGAAGAAGAAAAGTGAAGAGGAGTAAACAAAGATATGTGAAGCTGACATGTGGGCCCCACAGAATTTTTTTAATTTTTTTGCTGACTAGGATGCCACGTCAGCAAAACCGGGCAAAAATACTGCCAAGAGACCTCCGGCGAACGGTTTGAATGAGTTTAGGGGCGAACATTTCTGGTTTTGTAATTGAGGGATCTAAAAAAAATCTCGCTGTTAAGTTGAGGGACCTCCGGTGAACTTATTCCTCTAGGGCACATGTGTGAACTTTCGCCCCATTCTCTTCAAAGCGATTCAGAATTTCCCGATCGGGAGACGTTCTCATTAGGGTACAATCTTTCGTATTTGGCATTTTGTAACGGGTACCAATATAACAGATTATTTATTTTTTATAAGAAATATTAGTTAAATTTGAAAAAATATTACCAAACTTCTTTAGAAAATTCAAAAATTCTGGCCAAAATAATATGGGGGTGGTTGGGGGCGATTGATAGAACCGAAATTTTGTTATGGAATTTTAAACCATGCTCGTGGCACGCTGGCACACATCTACAAATATTGTTTCTACAAACAACCTTGGGACTACCTATTAATATTTTGATAGATTTGGAGCTTCAAATCTTATACTCCCCCCGTTTCACAATGTAAGACTTTCTAGCATTACCCATATACATATAAATGTTAATGAATCTAGACATATGTATGTGTTTGAATTCATTAACATCCAAATAAATGTGAACAATGCTAGAAAGTCTTACATTGTAAAACGGAGGAAGTATAATTTTGAACCAATAGATACAACCAATTTTGCATAAATAAAAAAAAAGATAAACTTGTCAAAAATCATAAATCTAGAGAAAAAAGTTGTGAAATCTAATTTTGATGCACTGTAACTAAGTATAAGTGCACTGTAACTGAGTATAAGGGGTTGTTCAGATTGATGCCATTTCAAACCATATCAATTTTTTGGTAAAGTTGCCAAAGATGTGTATCCATTTAGTTTTTTTTTTATCAAAATTTGGTAAATATATAAGAAATGATGTCAAAACTTGATAATATTTTTTAGCTTTACAAAACTTTGTTTACGCCCTCAATTCAAAACCCAAAAAGGGGATGTGCAACCTCTAACAATGTTACATTTCGTCATACTTCCTCCGTTTCATATTATAAAACTTTCTAGCATTACCCACATTCATATATATATATTAATGAATCTAGACATATATGTATGACTAGATTCATTAACATCTATATGAATATGAGCAATGCTAGAAAGTCTTATAACCTGAAACGAATGTAGTAGCGTTTCAATCCGTAAAAATATTGCCATGGAAAAATGTATGGAGTGCGCATGCCGCAGAGTTGTTTTCCACTCGTTCCGAAACTCGATGTGCATGCATTGGAATTTGCAAGTATGCAACCGTTCGGCGCGCACGCCGGACGCGCTCCGCGCCGGCCCGGCCGGCGGTAGCCAGCGCCCCTCTCTCGCCGTCGCGTCGTGCGACTACAAATACCCACGCAACACAGCGTCAGCGTGGCCATCGCGTCCGCGCACACGGCACAGCCAGCTTAGTACGTTTGGCTACCTATCACGCGCGCGCTAATCTCCCGCGCTCCCGGCATGGCTCTGTCGACGCGGCGCGTCTGCGTGCTCCTGCTGCTGGTCCTCCTCGGCCTCGCGGCGACCTCCAACCGCGCGCGCGCGGCGCGAGTAGTCCCCGCCGCAGGCGCCGCGGCTCTTCGTCGCGAAGAAGGCGAGGCGCCTGCGGCCGTTCACCGCGGACGCCGCGGGGTTCCTCGCATCGGCCGCGGCGGCGGAGTCGGTGGCGGTGGCGTCACCGTACCCGTCGAGCATGTCGCTAGACGGAGACTCCAGGAGCACGAGCACCTCAACGAGGAGATGCTGCCGTCGTTCAGCGGCGGTGGCGGCTCTCGCGGCGGCGGCGTCTCTTCCGGTGGCTCTTCCCGTGGAGGCGGCAGCTCGATCGGCTCCGGTGGCGGTTCACGTGGCAGCGGTGGCGGCTCCAGCTCAGGTTCACGCGGCGCCGGCGGCACTGAATCCGGCCGACGCTTCATCCCGCCAATTATCCCCGCCGTCCCGGGGGGCGGTGGCGGCGGCTGCAGCGGCAGCGGCAGTAGCTCTGGCCGCCGCGGCGTTTGGAACGTGGGAGTCGCCGCAGCCTCGGTCCTCGCCGTCGCCTGGCTCGTGTAGGATGCTGCTGCGTGACTCGGGCGGTAGCTGCGACGCCGTCTCGCCGATGCAGAATCATCAATAATTGTGGTGTGATCGCCGTATTTAGGTTTGCCATGCACACGGGCAGTGTACCGACGTGCATCGGTGCATGTAGTGGTTTTAATTTTCGCCTGGTCTGGATGTGGCTGGGTAGGTCATATCGTTAGTGCGTCGATGTGGTTCGGTAGGTCATATATATATTGTTAGTGCGTCGTTGTGTTAGATTAGTGCATGTGTGCGTGATATATAAATTTTACTCTAAGAATTTTGGTTTCTCGAGTTATCGAGTATTTAGAAGTATCATATTTTATAATAGAAAATACGATACCTCCTGATACTTTTTAAAGTATGCTAAAAGCATACATCGGGTACGTACCACAATATAACCATAAAAAAGGTCATAAACCTTTATAGCCTAACCTTATAAGAAATAGCCTAGCCCTTAAGTTTAAAATTGGCCTTTAGCTTTTACAGCCCATTCACAAGAAATAAAAAAAAATTGTTATTTCTCTCACTTCTTTTCACCATGTTATGGTTTATATCTACAAGCTTCACTGTTGTAGTGATGTGTGGTAATTTTTTCTCGTAGGACCCATCCTATGGTGAAAATTGGCATCAAACACTGATGCTTGTTTTATCTCTTAAATAACAATCAAGGTGGGAATGGGATACACCTTAAGATTGGTATGACCTCCATATATACATTGAGGATGCTCTAAGAAGGTACAATAGTCCTACTCTCCAAAAAAATTTATATCATTAAATTCATGCATGAAAGAGAGAGAATTGAAGAGAGAGAGAGAGAGAATGAAACGGACGACTAATCTATCACCCGGCGGTAGCGCAGTTGCACAGGCGATTCCGCGATAAAAAAAACTAGCTTTGTGGGGCCACACCGAACCCTATAGATCATGTGTGACTTTTTTCACTGTATCGGCTCTCACCTCTCTTGCTCTAGATCGCTTCTTTCCGCACAAATCGCCTACTTCTCCACCTGAGGCCCACCACTGTTCATCGGAGTCAATTTCCACCGCCATCGGAAACCGCGTATGCCGCGGAAGCTCCGCCACCGTTGCCGGATTAAATCCCATGCACCTTATGAATCCTATTCCTCTCATGCTCAGCCATCAGATCGATGCCAGATCGATGCTCTCCTTATGAAGAATGCATTGTTGCCATGCGAGATCTCCTGCCGCCTTGTGGCTGTTCCGTTGATTGAAGCAAACAAGCAGCTATGAGAACCACGAGAAGTGGTACGAGAACCATGAGAAATGGTTCTGAGTTTTGCTGTGTCAGTGGATTTGGGGATCTTTTTTCTCTGTCCTTTTCCCTTCTGCTCTTGATATATGCATGTCCTGTTTAGTTCAGTCCAAACTTTTCCCCAACTTCCAACTTTCCATCATATCACATCACATCTAAAACTTTCCTATACACATAAACTCCTAACTTTTTTTTTAAACTACCAACTTTCTCCAAACTTCTCCCCCAGAAACTAAACAAAGCCGTTGTTTATTTACACAAAGTAGATGGAATTTTTAGGAGTGATGCAATTGTGATAAGATTTGGATCTTCCCATCAACATTTCACTAGCGGTAGTTATGTAAAGCCTAATCAATTCTTTTACTAGTTCTTGTTGATATCACAAGTTCACAACATACAGATGGCTACACAGGTATAGTTTAGTTTTGATCGTACACATTTATGTGGACATGTATGACTAATTATTTGATTAATAAGGTGCACTCTACATAAGAGCTAATCTATTGTACTAGTTGTCTTTAGCATTAGCTACAAAATAATATAAAGGTAAGAGGATCTCATGTGCATTATCTTCTCCTCGTTGTTAGCATACGGTTGCAACCCTTGTAAGGCCTCCTCTAACAAGGGTGAGTCAGCTAACTCACAAATCTCCACATCAGCTTTTGTATGATGTGGAAGAGAGAGAATATAAGGAGAGAGAATACACTATCTCTTCTTCAAGAGCTAAGCTCTTAAAAAATGTGAGAGGGATTGTGAAACCCAAAGCATTTTGAACAATATGCTATGAGACAATCTATTAAAAAGATATACTTTTTGCTATCTCTTGTATGAGGTGTACAAACATGAGCTAGTGCAGGAGGCCTAAGTCGTAATCTCCCGGCTGTCTCTGAGTTTCCACATGTCGAAACAAGATTTCGGCAATACTTAAAAGGGGGTGGCTATCAAGCTAGAAAAGTGAATGGGTTTGAAGACAAGGAATTTTACACAGGTTCAGGCCTTCTTATTCAAGAAGTAATACCCTACTCCTGTCCGGGGATGATTCCGCCGAGTATATATTGATCGTATGATCTAGGGAAAAAGAAGTGTCCCGAGAGGAACCCGGACCCCTCCTTATATAGGGGAAGGGGTCCGTATTACAAAATACAGTCCATATCCCTAACGGAATATATGATTACAGATGAAATACAATCGTAACCGACTAAGATCTCGGGTATTTCCTTGATGTACAAGTTTAGAAACTAACCCGAATCCTCATAAAGATATTCTATCTATATTTGGTATCGTGTACCCAACTAAACTATAACTGCCATGTAGATATGGGATATCCATAATCTCCACAGTAGCCCCCGAGACCTTTGCAGTCGACGAAATAGCTTTTTCAGAACAAAAAGCAATAATCTGAGTGCTTCAATTCCTCTTGCTCTGGCCCGCCGAGTACTAAAATCAAAGACTGTGAAGGACAAAAATAAAACATGGTGCATCGAGTAGATGCACCTAATTAGGTATAACCCCCGACTATGTGGTTAGTTGAAAAACTAAACGTGTAGTCAAGAACCGAGTGGTTTTACAACCAAACATCATATAGCAAAGCACGCATGGTATTCAGTAAAATACCCAGCCGACTGCTTCTCAACTTGAATATATCAAGAATAAAAACATGAAAAGGGCCCGAGTGATAAACACTCAAAAGGTCCACAAAAAGACATATTTGACAAGAATCCGAGTAAGAAACTCTTAAAATGATCTACCAAATATGATAAAAATCATGGTAATTAAGAAGTTTAATAGCCTAGGCTATAACCCTTACCATAATCAAAATAAGCATATAACATGCCAAGAGAATGACTCTTAATAAACTAGCCATCTCGAATCAACCCAAACAGCTTTTGCAGCCTAATAAAGCTTACAAAAATAGTATAACACCTTTCTGTCGGGCACCTTTTTATTTGCATCGTGGTAATTCCAAAGAATTATCAAATTGCGCTAAAAAGGATTTTAACAGCATCGGGTCACATCATTGTGAGCACAAATTGCCAAAGCAAAAAGCGCCTAAGTCCCTAGGGATCACAACGGGCCACGCTGGTAATAATATTGGGCTGAAGTACTGTATAGGCATAGACCCATTAGCACTCCCGATACCCTAACAAAACACCGAAGTCCAAGCGACGCTTCGTCTTCCCCGCCGAAACTCTCTCCATTTCCCCACTCCTTGCTACAGTACAAAGCTGCGCCAACGAAGCTAGGGTTCATCAATCCGCCCCAATCCATTCTCAAAAATCCACGAAACTTCTCCACGCGTCCACCGCACCGATTCCCCGTTCCCCTCCAGCTACTTTTCAGACCGAATCAGACCGTTCGACTCGCATCCATGGCGGAAGAGAGAGATAGTTTCGAGAGTCAGTGGGCGCCCTCCGACGTGACGGAGGAGAATCTGAAGGAAATGGTGGCGCACGGCGTTCTTCCGGCAAAGGAGATCATCGGGTGGCGGCCAGCGTTTGGCGAAGCGTTCCCAACCCCCGATACACACGAGGTCGTGGTATTTTCTCACTTCTTTTATGGTGGATTTTCTCTTCCAACTTCAAGATTCTTCCGAGGAATTCTGAGCTTCTATGGAATTAGCCTGCATCACCTGAATCCAAACTCCATAGTGCACATTGCCAATTTCATTCATGCCTGCGAAGCTTTTCTGGGCATTAGGCCTCATTTCGCCTTATTCCGCCGAATCTTATTCCTCAAGCCCCAACCGAACAAGAGCAAACCATGCGTGGTTGGGGGTGCCGGCTTCCAACTCAGAGGAACACTAAGCCAAAAGTATTTCTCCATGCCCTTCAAGACCTCAAACAAAGGCTGGCACACAAACTGGTTTTACGTTCAAAATCCTGAACCCGTACTCCCCGAGTACTCTTGTCTTCCTCCGATTTACCAGGACACATGGAATTCATTGCCTATGGGAGATGAAGCTGCTCAGGTAGTGGAATTGATGGAATGCATGCTAAAGCTGAAGGAACAGGGTTTGCAGGGAGAACAAATCACTCGGCACTTCATCAAAAGTTGGTTAGCTCCAATCAAAGAGAGGTCCCGCACGGCTTTTGAGTTTGACGGCAAGTATGATCCAAATCGTGAAGATCCAGACTCTCTTGACTTTAAGGTCATGAAGGAAAGAATGTACAAGATCTTCTCAAATGCCATTGTCGTCAGCTATTCACATTTGTTGCCAGTTGTGCCATATAATGCATCCAACCCTCCTCCACCGGTATGTACTCAAACACTTCAACCTTCCTCAAAATATGATATCGTCTTTTTGTTAAATCAATTGACAGTGGAAGATATTATGTCTAGCAATTTGCTCAGCGCCGATCACCTCGCCGTCAGACTGGTCAGGGGAGCGGGGGACCAAAGATCCGGTCCGAAGCTTAGCCCAACACCTCTAATCCAGCCGGCCAGTCAGATTCCCATAAGAGGAAGTTAGTGCTGAGTGACGACGAAGGCGAAGACGGTGAAAAGCCTGGAGATAGAGAAACAACCAGAAAACTGCCGAAGCAAGCCATTCCAAAGAAGAAAACATCCAGTCATCCTATGCCGAAGATCAGGAGGTCTTCCAGGTATAAATCATATAACATTCTTGTTCTGATGCTCACTTATCATGAAAACAACGCTGACAGTACAACTCAAACTCGTAGGAAACCATCTGATATAGACCCTTCTGTGAAGGACTCTGATCCGACTAACATGGAGACGAGTTCTTCCAAAGAAACCGGGCCGACTGCCGCGGATCACCCGAGTGACAATCAGCCGGCAACCAATCGGCCGAAGCTGAAGCCGGAGTTAATCAGGAGCCCCCGACTGGAAACCAGTCAGACACAGGGCCAAGCCAAGAGATCCCAGAAGTTGAAGTCCGAGCAGACAGCCCTCGCGGTCAAGATGCCAGCAATGACCGAAGGTCTGGATCTCCTTCAAAGGCATCTGAGTCCACTCGTCCTCGTCCAGAAATCATCACGGGTAAACACTTTGTCCGAAAC